TTGCTCTAATAAATCTTAGCCATCAGTATGACTATATGCTTAGTACTATTGTAGGAAATCACCAAACTCAGGGGTGGTCTTGGGGACCCTGACACAGTCCCGTGTAGGTCCAAAGAAGAGGACTTGTGCCTTAAATCTCTTTGTATTTCTTAGAATATATAACATACTCTTATACATAAAAGATACTCATATTTTGTGATTTTATATATTATCCTCCTAACATATCCAAACCAGTCTAAAGATGTGTTGAATCTCTACTTCAGTGTGACTTAACATTGGTGAACCGGTTAAATGGCAAAAATACATGTGATAAACACATACAATTCAAACAACAAATGAAAAGCTTTGGGCAGGTTCAAGTAACAGAGCTGGATAGAAGATTGATTACTTTGACCATTTACAGTCTGCAGCCCTCCAATTTGTTTTAATGATGTCTTGATAGTTCTCTGCCTGCAAATATCCTAAAGAAGATCCTGGGGCTTCCCTGGTGGCGCAGTGGTTGAGAGTCCGCCTGCCGATGCAGGGAACACGGGTTCGTGCCCCAGTCCGGGACGATCCCACATGCTGCGGAGTGGCTGGGCCCGTGAGCCATGGCCGCTGAGCCTGCGCATCCGGAGCCTGTGCTCCGCAGCGGGAGAGGCCACAACAGTGAGAGGCCTGCGTACCGAAAAAAATAAATAAATAAAAGAATATCCTAAGCATTCTTAATTTGAATTTCTTTTTTTGTTAATTCATCCATCTTTGGAATTTAGCAAAATATAACATATTTCAGTTGTGTGTGACTGATAAAGACAGCAGGCATTTTATCAAGCTTCTGTGTTATTTAACGACAGTTCTGTGATGTGTCAAACAATCCATGCTTCCTTATACTTTATACAATTCCTTTAGAACCAATCCTACCTACTGGCCAGTAGATCAAAAAGACTGCCACAGAAAACACTGATACAAAAGAAACATTGAAATATGATAAAAGAAGGCCCAAGGGATGAAAGGAGTGAGTTGGAGAATATATCCAGGTTAAAGAAAGTTCCAGGCCACCCCTGATGTCAAAGTACTTTTCTGGTCTTGATCTGTCGTAACAAAAAGAAAAAAAGGTTCTTACTATTTTTAAGGCAAACTTCTTTACTCAGCATAGAGATGTTATATCAAATGCCAATTATGCATTTCAAAAAAGCAAAGAAATACAATGAATTTTTACAAAACACAGCAATTCAGTGACTCTTTTTCTTATGAAGGCTCTATGTCCAGAAAAAAAAAATTTATAGCACTAGAATGCATACTTTACCATTATGTATGAACAAACAGTATTTTAAAAAATATTACTAACATAGAAAATATAAATCATTAAATTAGTGAAGAGTCAAACGCATGGGAAAAGTCACAGAGTGGGAAGTAGCCTTCAGAGGTCATCAAACCATCCTCCTAAAACACTACACATTGGTAAGTCCCCGATTCAAGAAAAAGCAATGATTCCACCATCACACTTGATGGAACAGGACTTCTGTTTTGGCTTTGGGGAGGTGGGGAGCCTGAGGGGAGAAAGGCAGAGAGTGGCCATTCTAGAATTTTTCTTCTGTACCATTCCGTGTATTCAGCATTCACTGTGTTACTTTGGTCGTTTATTTTAGTGGCTCTACTCACTGCCACTAATACCACTGGCAAAAGAAGAACATTATGAAGTTTTCTATTTAAATCCATTGTTCAATTGCCTTTCTTTTGATGTATGCTTTACCAACAGAGTTTATAATCTTGTGAAAGTTTATGTAGTAGTGAGATCCAGATTCTCAATTCTGTATCTAATCCCCAAGTCAAGCCATCTTTACTCATTAAATCAAAACTAAGTTATAAAGGAAAAAGTGATGAGCATTCTTTTTCTCTTCAAAAGGAAACAAAAAAAATCTATTTTATAAAGACAAAGATTCTCAAGTTGACACCAGTTTACTACAAACACTGCTTAACTGTCACCCAAAAGCTGAGACTTTCTTGTTTCAGGTTATAATTTTCATTATATGGAAATGGCAAAGTTACCATGACTTCATAAAAATTAACTGTAGAATTAGAATCTTGTAATTATAGATAAAAGTTAAATTTTAGAAGTATCAGGGGCTATAACAACGAAACACTCTAAACATTATCCACTACTTAAGACAAATTTTAAGTGTGTTTAAACATAAGGTGAAATGTGCAATGCAGACTAAATCAGTGTAGAGTAAAAACCCAATAGTGTACATATAGATAATGAAGGGATCAGGGAAGCTGGTTAAAACTTATAATGAAGAGAGAACTAGTAAGAATATAGCAACCTGGCTGAAATTGATATTCATTAGGGTACTCTCACATCAATAGGGAGCATTTGGATGCTGTGGTCTTTATCAGTGTCCCAGCTGGTAATGGTTGAAGGTTAATGCCTTACCCCATTCTGTTCAATTTTCTATCCTAATTAGCCCTCCAAATCTATAGCTGTGAGCACCAAGTGTCTGTGCTCAAAAGAAACTAATTAATGCTAGCAAATTAGATCAAGTCCAAAGATCCAACAGCCAAACTCTTAGTTAAATGCTCCTTGTTAATAGGAAGTGTAGCTGTCAATAACTGCTGTTGGTGACTATAATGAGGCATCCTTTTCTTCATTGAAAGTGATTTCATTTCTCTTTGTCACTGGAAAAGCTGTTCCATTCCCTTCACAAACCTAAGTTGCTGGCAGCCTGACCCAATTCTTACGATCAGCCAGGTTGAAATGACATGAAAAAATAAAACAAAATCAAACAGAAAAGCTTTCCTACATAATCATGTTTCAGGCATTTAACAGAAAATCAGATCACTTATTAGAATTCCTATATCTTTACTCAAGAACTGTACAATTAGGATGCATAATGCTTTTATGTAAAATCCTGTAATTACTTAATAAAACAAAGGCTATAAACAGTAAATAAACCACAATGGAAGTGTTCTGATTCTAAATTCCGTCTTATTGTTCAGTTTAAATGTAGCTGTTCTGCTCCCACTTGAGCAATGCCAGGTTATGTTCTCTCCTAGTTCACATGGTTAAACAGGAAGATCATTCTTTTATAAAATAATCAATTTTAGATTCTAAAACAGTTTTGGACCATATGGCCTGACAAAAAAATCAATATATGATATCTATAAAAATTCAAATACTCAAAGATCATTTGTTATAACGTGTTCTAGTAGAGACAAATGCATTGAAATAACTCAAATGGATCTCAAATTTTAAGATGCTTTCAGTCTTCAGAAGATTTTAAGTATGGTAAAAAAAAAAAAAATGATCAACATCCTAAGCAACTTAAGTTTTGATAAAGAAGCAAAAACTAAACATTTTCTTTTCTGTACCATTACAAAGTAATAGGTGTGTAACACAAATATTTTAAAGTTATACTCTATTTCTTTCAGTTCAAAGACCAAAGTTTCATTGTCTAAGAGCAAAGCAAATGTAGTTCTGAAACCTAAACTCGACCATTTCACATTTTCATCTGAATCATGTAAGAAGTCTATAATTGAGTTATCTAGCTTTCTTTCATTCTAGATATCAGAATAACATGTTACAAAACCCTATAATTTTATTATCCATTTTTAAGTTTTATCCTCCCTCACCTGAATCAGGATATTTTTTTAAAGTCCTATGAGGCAGGTGGAGGGTTACCTCTTGAGACCATCAGCATGACACCCGCTGACGCCAGGTGTGCACTGAACCCTACCCGCAGGTGCCAGTGGAGTAACTTCTCCTGACATCTGGGCGTGGGGGAAAGGAAGGTGCTCTGATTATACGACTAATTCATAATGAAAGCAAGACCATCAAATGATACTAATAAATTACTGATAACTTGTTAATAAATTTACTTACAGATGGATTTAATTCAAACCTGATTTATAGGTGGATTTAAAATGGGAATAGCTCATGATAAATCATTTAAGAAAAAGAAATGACCAGCACACAATGTCAATTCTGAGGAACTATTCTTTTATTGCCTTTGTCCATCAGTCCCAGAGGTCATTCTCTAAGGAGATAGCATCTAAGGGACAGAAATGTGCCTAGCACCCAAATGTTATTGACACAGTCCCCAAACTACAGCTGACACAGCCTGGCTTCCCACGGAGAAACTTGCCGGGCACTGAAGCCCATCAGCCCCACTAAGCATTACTGTGGTCCCTCAACGAAGGCTACAAGGGATGCCGGGAAAACAGTCCACGTCAGCACAATTTTACCACTGTTTCTTTGCCATGGACATTCCAAGAGGAAGATTTTTATTAAAAAAACATTTCTACAATAATACTGCTGCTTTTCTAATTACCCATCATTTATGGCCTCATTTTTCATCTTCTACGCCTTTGTATTTTTCACTATAATATTATATATTAATCAACATATCTCTAGATTTATAGAAGACAGGCATATTTTAAATTAAAAAACATTTTTCAAAGAATACATGCATATGTGGGTGTCTAGCGCATGCATTTACATAAATATCTTCTGCTCAGAAATGTAGAATATAGAAAAAATTTTAAAAAGACTTGTAAGTACTACTGAGATTCCATTAACAATTCAGTAATAGACAACAACGCCAAAGAAAATCATCTTAGACTATATTCATATATGAATATGTTGATAGAGGAAAAACAGGCACACATTACATTTGATGTTTCTTCTTTCCCT